GTGCAGCCGTTTTTGTGGTACGGTTGACCAAAAATCACTGAAAAAATAAAAAAAATAAACCGTACGAAATCAATATGACTCCCGCTTACGCTTCGCATGCGGGGGTCAAAATAAATTGTACAATAGTCTGGCTATTTAGTGATATTTCCACAGTTGTGGTCTTGACTGGTCTTGAAACAAAATTCCGAGTCCTCAATGTCTGAGACCGAGACAAGACCGAGTCCAAATGCTGTCGAGTCCGAGACAAGACCAAGACCATCCAAAAGTGGTCTTGAGACCGGTCTTGGTCTACAACACTAGCACACGCCATTCACCTACAACATCCCAACACATAGTTATTCTCTCATTAGGTTGTAGATTTTTGTTTGAGGATTTGGCCACGTGGTAGGAAGATGCTCCCAGTCAGTCCTCTGAAGAGTGGCCAGGTCCAGATGAATGTTTTTAAATATGGGCTGACTTCCTGTTTTTTTTTTTTTTACCAAAACCACGACTGAATAAAGCGGTCTGTATTTTGTTCCATCTGTTGGTATGGCTTTATTTCGTGCATTTAACACAAGTATAATTCTGTATTTGTTTCTTGATCCTCGGCTCACACCAAAGTGACTGAACCACTTTAGTCAAACTTTGAAAATAATGTTATCAAACACATATTCAGAAGATTTTGCACAATCTGGTATCACTCAGACTGTGGACACTTGGCTACTACCGTGTCAAATTTTATCTTAAAATCTACTGAAAAAACTTAGTTTTAGCTGTTATTGTGCTTCCTAAGATCAGTTGGCAGTGATCTCCATTTTGAGTTGGGTTGACTCCAAAAGTTAATGAGTTGGAGATGTATTTGCAATAATTACTTTCTGAAAGTTAAATAAAAATCTGAGCACTGGTTTATAAGAAATTTAAACTGACAAATTGTCAATAAACTGTCATTAGTTCCTGTCACAGCGGGCAATAATTACTGTGTACTGAAAACTGACCGCAGTGTAAAAATCTAAGAACCTGTATTTGGCTAAATCCTTATATAGGTTGTCAGGGTTCCGACGGGTCCTTGAAATTCTTGAAAGTTTGTGAATTAGAAAAAAGGATTTCAAGGCCCTGGAAAGTTTGTGAAAACAGCCAAAAATTACACTTGTCCTTGAAAGTCCTTGAATGTTTCTTGGGGATTGAAATTCTCTATTCACACAACTGATTTTCATCATTTTTTAAAAAACAATTTATAAAATTTAATAAAAAATAAACTTACATTTGTTGCAGTGGATAACTCAAGATTACGGTAAACTGACGTCATTGTTTCTGACTCGACAACTTCTATGTTGTTCAGTTTTTCATTGAATTTACAAGATATTAAACCTGTTTATTGGTAACACTCTGCAATAGCAGTAGGTACTGCAATTGCTTTTGCGCGTGGTTCTTTAATTTGAGGAATTTGGTACTGGAAAGTCCTTGAAAGGTCCTTGAATTTGATGTTGGCCAAGGTGTGGGAACCCTGGTTTTTGTAATAAAGTGGATTGTTTTAAGATGGCAGCAATCCATGGTTGTTAGCTCATCAGACCTGTTGGACGTAAATATTTCTTCCAACTGGGGTCATTCAAACAGCTATCTACAACAGGTAAGATATTATTTCCTAACTTTTCCAAAAAAAAAAAAAAAACAGAACGGACTAGCTGTTTAATTTCTTTACTTTCACATTTTAAAAATTATAAAGAAAATAACGCTTTTAAAGATACTAGACGAACTGTCGCCAGCACCTTCTTAATTTATACATACAGTAACAGCTGATAAAAAACAGTTGTTGAGTGTTTTGTAATTCAGACATCCCTTGTTGCCAGATCTTGTCTCATGATCCTCCAGACTGACTGTAACAAGCACTTTCCCACTTTTCATCATCGGCTTTCAAATCCCCCCCCCCTCTCTCTCTCCCCCGTCCACCCACTCAGCCTGAGAATAGCTGCATTGTTCGCCGCTCACTTCTGTGGAGCATCAGACTCCAAGCCAAGAAGACACTGGACAAAAAAGTGACACTGTGTCACATCAAATTCACGAGCGCCCGGCTGTTTGGCGTTAGAACGTTGTTAAACTCACTAAACATTGTCCTGCTAGATCACTTCAAGCGTTTATCCTTTGTGCATGGGGAAGACAAGAGCTCGGTGTTCACTCACAGCCGAAATAAACAAGGCCTCACTCTAAGTTATAACAATAAATATCTGTTTTAATCTCAACTTAGGCAACTTCACAAGATGTTTTTTTGTGTAAAGTCAATGTTAAAGGCCAATTCTACATGAGGTATGCTTCTTGTACAGTCCTTATAATTAGGAAAATGTATCATATTCTGTGTTTGTATTTTCATTAGTCTTTTCAGTGCTCTCATGATGTCTGTAAATAACATGTTGTATGTAAAGCAATGCTTTAATGAAAGGCCTAGGAGCACAAACGGCCTGCCATTTATTGAGTGAATTTTAAACTAAATGAGAAGTAATAAAAGTGGTTTTGGTCAAACCTTGTAAAATATGTTATTTATGATGCAATGTGTCAATTGCAAGCTCTTCTGAGATGTTTTAGCCTTCAGAGTATGTGTTTTTAACAAATCTCAGCTTCTTTCAAACCCAATTTTTACTCAACATTTGTAAATTTGAAGTTATATCCAGTTAGTAGGGGTGCAACGATACAGAAAATTCACGGTTCGGTTCGGTTCGATACTTTAGTCTCATGGTTCGATATTTTTTCGATACAAAAAAGAGAAAATTCCATGCCCCTTTTAACTTGTAATTTATTTTAATTAATTATAAACATTTGTTTAACCTCAAAAGTACAGTTTTTAAATTAAATGTTGCTGAAACAGCAAGTTTCTCAGTGGATCTGCGCTCAAAAATGCAGCCTAGGTGGAGTAGTCGAACACAGATCCACTGATCCTTCAACACAGAGCATCTTCAGAAGACATGTTGATAAATTAAATTTTTAAAATCTGTATTGTTCGATACCAGTGTGTATTGAACCTAAAGCTCTGTTCGATTCGGTTCAATACGGGTACATTTATTGTTGCACCCCTACCAGTTAAAGTGTTGGCTAAGATTGCTTGTCAGTCATATTAAATTTTGGTGACTGCAAAAATTGAACAGTTGTAGATCTGGTAGTTTTATTAAAATCTTTGTTTATGAGAGATGATTGACCTACAGTACATGGTTGACCTCAGCAGTTTTTACACAATTTTGGCTCCACTTTGGGCACCACTGGTCTAGACTATAGAGCTTGGAGTATGTATTTGAGATGATGCTCAGCTAAAACCACACCATGTCACAAATAGCTCTTTCATACATGTCAACCCCTTTGAATGTTTACCTGTAAACTGACCCTCGAAAATTTGTAAGTAAGTACTCACACACGATACAGACGACGGGGGTGCTGGACAGGTGGACTGTTGGCTGCAGGGAAAGAAAGAACATGGGGCGGAGATAAATTCACCTGCAGCAGAGAAGAGCAGCAGAGCATGTTGGGAAATGGTTATTTAATTGTATTTATGTCTGTACAAACG